TTTGTCTGGTTTTTTGTTAAGCCCAACCTATAAGCAGTCTTACTCACGTTACAACAAAATGTGGAACCGAGTATTCGCTTGCTGCAATTTAATTCTCCAATTATTTCTGTCCCTTGATTGAATTCCAGCGCTTGAGCGTCCTGATCCACACCATCAATCCATCTAAGCTTTGGTCTGCTTAGCTCGTTGTTATACAGCCTCCTCTAAAGCCTTCATGACAAATAGCTCCAAAATATCTGCGCAAAACCTTTCGTTCAAAGACTTTTAGCTTGTTTTCTTCAACTTTGCATAAAGTCCAGGTTTTGAGGGTGCGACGCCTTAGGTGTTTGCTCAGCGCGAAATATTGTACCATTTGTTCGCGGCTATTATCCTTTGGTTTATTTTCGCAGATATATTGTTCGTACTGTTAATATTTACTCCTAAGTACTTAAACTGGTCAACTACCTCAAAGTTATGCTCGCCAAGGCTTAAGTTTTGTCTCATACTGTTGTGCACTGATTTCGCGGTTGAGGATATTAATACTTTCGTTTTTCGTAAACTCATCGTTTATTGAAAACCCTTTGCAACTTTTTCTATTTGTATAAATGCAGTTTTGAAATTGTTTATAGCTGTCGCAACGATGTTTATATCGTCAGCGTAAGCCAAAATTTGAGTCGATTTAAAAAATATTGTAGCTTTGGTGTTTACTCCAGAGTCTCTTATCACCTTTTCAAACGCCCATCCCCTTGTCGTAGGCCGTTTTTCGAAATAAATTTACTTGATATAGAGTTCCCGATTCGTACCACATTTCTAACATTCGCCATTGTGGTGAGATTTATTAATTTATTGGGTATACCAAACTCATATAAGGCTTCGTAGAGAAGTGACCTATTTATACAATACTATCGTATACCGCATTAAAATCTATAAACAAGTGAAATGTCGTGATATTATTTTCCTGCGTTTTCTTAAGAAGTTTCCTTACTGCAGGTTGGTTGAAAAGTTGGTTGGTCTCCCCAAGAAATAGTACTACTAGCTCCAATTTTTTTTTTTCCTCAAGTTGAAACATCTGTCGTGAGAACACATACAAAGTTACTAGTCATTCTGTCAATTAATTATTTGTTTACAAGCCATTTGTAGTTGACATGTCATGGTGAAGTTTGACTAAGCGTGAAATTGCTAAGGCCATAAACATTTTAGACGAACGAGTACTTCTTATTTTACAATACATGGAGAATCACATATGCACAAGCTGTTTAGAGAGTTAGCAATTCAACAAAAACTGGATCAAAAATAAATTGCTCAGCATAATTTGGAGCGTTTTAAGCAAAATAAAACCGATTTCTTGCGTCGTTTTATAACTATGGATAAGACTTGAATCTACCACCATGATCCTAAATTGAAACAATAACGTTTACAGTGGACTGAAGCTGGTTGTTCAGCTCCAAAGTAGGTGAAGTTACAATGATCAGCAAAGATGGTTATGACATCAGTTTTTTTTGAAAAAGGAATTTTGTTCATTGATTATCTACAGAAAGGTAAAACCATCAACTCTGAATATTATTGCAGTCTTTGGATTTTTTATCAAGACAATGCACCTGCTCACAAAAGTGTTTTAACAATTACAAAATTCAATGAATTAAAGTACGAATTGCTTGAGCATCCACCTACCACACACTACTACCTCTTCAGAAACCTGAAACAATTCCTTCGTGGAAAGCATTTCTCGTCGAATCAAGAAGCTATTACAGCCTTAGACGGGTATTTTGCAGAGCTTCTGGAAAGTCATTATAGGGATGGCATAAAATTATTGGAGGATTATTGGAATAAGTGTATTGAAGTTGAGGGAGATTATATTGAATAAAAAATATATTTCGTATCAAACACAGTGTTTTTTAATTTGAGCGCAGAACTTTTAAAATATCTGTTCGGTGGTGCCTCTTCAAGTTATAAAACCTGCTTGGTGGTCCCCATACAATTTGATTGACGTTTGAGCGTATTCGTTCATACAGAAAATTTTAAAATATTTTATAGGCTATATTTAGCAGTGTAATTGGTTTATAATTTTTTGCATTGAAATTAGTATCAATTTTTGACGAATGGGCATATTATTCCGTTTTCCCAAGTGGTCCAAATGCTTATACAGCTCTTGTGATTCTTCAGTCGGTTCACCGACTGTTTGTGGCACCTCCCTTTGCAAATTTTTCATTGAACTGTGTTAAGAAATTGGTCGAAATGTTTTACCCATCTGTCAAGGAATGCTTGTGTTTCAGTTAGCAGGTTACCCTGTGTGTCCTTGCAGTGTATCGTTTCGATAGCTGTTTATGATTTTGTAAAGTTGAAGAGAGTTTCTTGAAATATAATTTGCTTGTCGAGTCCGAAAAGTTTTCTCTCTTTTTACAAGGTGCGTTTCAAAGTAAACAGGACTTTTAAAAAAAAGACAACAAATGGTTTTATCGGCAAAATCAATTAATTTTATTCAAAATAGAAAGAATCTTCCACTTTAATACAGCTTTTTGCACGGTCCAAAAGCATGTCGAACGAGTGTTTTAGCTCGTTGCCCGGTATGGCCGCCAGTATGCCGGGGCAAGCCTTTTGAATGGCCTCCACGTCTCTCACTCGCACGGTGCCATATCAGGTGAACACGGGTAGTGGTTGATTGTTAAAATGTGATTTTTGGTCAAATAATCGGCCACAAGCCTCGATCGATGAGACAGCGTATTATCGTGCAACAAACGCCAACTTCCATCTTCGCGATATTCGAGCCGAACATGTTGAATACGGCGCACCAAACACTTCAGAACTCCAAGGTAGAATATCGCATTAACGTTTTGTGGACAATACCCTTGGAATCATAAAAACAAATCAGCATTGTCTTCACTTTTGACTTCTCCAGGCGCGATTTTATGGGTTTCGGCTCGTCCGGCGCCTTCCATTCAGCACTCTTGGCGTTTCGTTTCGGGATCATATTGAAAACACCACGTTTCGTCAATTTTTGCGGAACAAACCGTGCACACACCGTTTGTAAGCCCAAATGTTCGGTCAAAATGCGATAAATCGATGTTTTGGAGATCGATTCTATTTCCATGAATTTCAATGATGATTCCGGCTGATTTTTTAAGAATTCACGCATTTTTTCGATGGAATTTTCGGTGTTCACGGATTTTGGTTGGCCCACATGTTCATTGTCATTTATGTCCTCACAACCACTTTGAAAACGTTGAAATCACTCGTGCACTCTGCTACGGGATAGGCCATCATCGCCATAAACTTGTTTCATCAATTGAAGCGTTTCGGTAAAAGTTTTACCAATTTTAAAACAAAATTTAATGTTGGCTCTTTGTTCGAAGCTCATTTTCGCACCGATGACAAAAACATACTGACACTTAAACCGCAATAACTTCACTTCCAATAGATGAAATATCATGAAATGAAATTACTGGAAGTCGATAAAGGATAGCAGATTCTAACGCACTAGTCGGCATATAAATGGCGCCACTAGAGTTTACTTTTTTACTGTTTACTTTGGAACGCACCTTGTATGTCTGTGAAAGCGATTCTCAAGTCTTCTTAGTTCTCTGTATAGTTCGGTAGATGCTCTAGTTTTTTAATTTAGCATCCACGTTCATAAGTGAGTGTTTAACACCGTCTGGCGATATCATAGAATATTTTTTCTGTCGAACATTGTGCTCGCCATTATACGGTCCTTCGAGGCGGCAAAGTTGTTCAGCTTCTTACCGTTGTCATATAATAGTTATATAGTTTTATAAATTAAGTTATTTAAAAAAGACACGAATATACATAAGGTCCGAAATGAATATGTAGCTGTCCCAAAAAAACCGAGCGTGATTGAAACAAAATTATTATACACTCGCCTAGAAAATGTATCCATACAGCTCAACGTGAAAACAATAAACTGAGAAATTTGTGATCAAATAATATATTATGTATAATAATAGGATATAAAAGTTTTATTTAGTATTTTTACTACATTTTCCATACGTTTTTTCTTTTAAACATACACTTTAAAAAAATTTTTCCAGAACAAAAACAAAAAATGCTTACGTAATGAATCAGAAAAAGTATTCGTACATTTTGAAATTAATCAAATATAATTAAATTATTTTGGGAAAATTCAATATCCTGGTAACTGGCGGGATAGCCCTTACGATTTAGGACCTCCGCAAGCATCATTTGTAATTTTGGCCCATTCATCCATGATCACATTTTCGGGCATTCCTCTTGAGATTATGGTGTGTTGACGGATTCTGCGCTCCAGTAAATCCCGCAGATGCTAGATGGGGTTGAGGTCTGGAGATTGAAGTGGCGAGCGCAATTGATTTTTTATGTTATAGAGCAACCAAAGCCTTGTATTGTGTGCCAAGTGCTTTGGATCATTATCCTGTTGAAACCAAAAATCTTAACCAAGCCCCAAATTCTGAGCACTTTCCTTCAAATTATTTTTGAAAATGCTTTAATAGTAACGAGTTTGCGTACTCCTGCCGCCGTACACCCCCAGACCATCACACCTCCTCCGACGTGCTTGATGGGTAAAAGATTTTCTTTATCAAGTTTATCAATGATCGGTTACGCGGTTTCTGCGTGAAAGGTTAACAAACATACTTAAATTCACATTTATGACATTAGTATGAATACAATAAAAAGTATATAGTAGATAACAAACCTCAAGTTGCTGATTTTCCAACAGAAATTCAATAAGGGCCTCTCTCTCTGACACCACCACCTCTAGGGTTGCAGCGGAATAAAGATAACTTGCTTCAATATGTTGAGATAAATCTATTTCTGTTTTTTCTTTTCTTATAAATAGACGGGTAAATATATTTTTCGGAATTGTATTTGGATATTTAAATTTTATTTACAAAGCAACAATTAGTTCTTTACAATTGATGTAATTTAATAGACAATTACGCATATACATAGAAAAAAAACTTGCATATACTTATCTAGAAATACGGAATAACTTTTTTCATCCTCTTATTTTTATACGCTTTTATTAGCTTCATTTGTTTTAATACAAAACGTCTTTTCATGTATTTTCAGCCGGAACTTTATCTCTGTACGCCTGTAAAAGTCGACTATACTACCAGCTATTTTATAGGTACGTTACCTAATTAAATTTACATATAAGGAAATATATTTGCTTTTGAAATATATACATTACCAAACATTTATTAGTTTTTAACTAAGAATTTTTTTCGGCCCTAACCAAATATTATGAGAAGTACATATAAACCGATTTAATTATATTTTTCTTATAAATTTAACGTTTTTAGCCCATTTTTAAACAAATATTGGAGATCATACAAATAATTGTTGAGATACGCCCACAGGAAAGAAACATTTCCCTGAGAAATTTGGTGCAACAATCAGTTGTTGAAAAATACAATGTGTGTGTCCCAAAAAAACTTTATATTTAATAATTAAATACTATTTTATTTCATAAAATATGCGGCGTTATCTATTACTATGTGATTATATTCTATTTCCAAAACTAAAAGCAAACATTAAATGAGCATTTTATGATGAAATCCCAGCCATTCAAGCATCAGTGAACGGAGGTGCTGAAGAACATTCATATAAATGACATCAAAAAATCTATGCATTCGCTGGTTGTCCGTTCAAAATAAATTGTAACTTTCAATAATCAAAAAGTTCGGGTATATTAAGGACGCATCTAACCCAAAAGTGAATGGAATGAACAGTGTTTTTAGGAAATTATTATTTTTGGTTAGAGTGAAAATGATATTATTAAAATATTTTGTTGGTAGTTGCTTGCGTTGAGCTTTCCTTCACTATTTTCCTTTATTGAATATATATATATATTTGTTTATGTTACAGTGGGTGCGGTGAGATCAAATTTTTAAACATACTGTAAACGCATATTTGAAGTAATTCGAAATGAACTAAAGTTTAGTATGTCTTCAAGACCTTGAATTGTCTACCAATCTACTGCTATCAATCGATGCCATGTGTTTGAAAGAGTGAGCGCCTATCTCCATGATCTTTCTGGCATCTTTACTGCAAGGAACCAAAACTTTTTGTTTATGTACCCACAGCAACCAAAGTGGAAGAAGGGATACAGACTAGACTCCAACAATTTTGTCTATAATTCCAAGTTTCGATAGTGAATAAAAAATTTTGAATGTGCCTCCAATCTTTACTCTCTCACTCCGCATACGGCCGCTATCATTACCAAGGTACAGAACCGACAAAAGCTAGCCGGCAGCTTGAAAGCCACAGGAGGAGGTTGAAGAAGGTACATCTTTCAGAATAACGTACTCCGAACAATTACTGTGTGGCTCCTCTTGAATATCTGTAGACGAGATACAGCCCTTTACCCACACGATTAACATCGCAGTCCATGAGCTCAGGTTGCCGCATATAATCGGAAGAAGGGTCCCTACATTTTCGTTTTGAATATTGTAATATATTAAAGTCCTTACCCTGGCATACACAACACATGTCATGCATCCAAAGAGTCCCTGCGAGCAAAGAGTCCCCTTTACTTTAGGGGGAAGAAGCTATCACGGGTAGCGCAGGCAATTCACCAATTGCCTGGAAACTTGGGCGTAGCCAGACTACGCAAGATTGTTTTAGGGCAAGTTTAATCTTTACTTGCTTTTAATGTAACATCATCGAGTGTCTAGTGGTATGTGTTTTACCTCGCTCGGCATTATTAGCTGAACTCGCATAAAAAGGGAAATAAAAACATGAAAAAACGTTAACTTCGGTTGCACTGCAGCTATAACATCATTCATTTTTGCATTTCGTATGGCATAAAATTATATTTTTACTTTGGTCCGATCTGAACGATTTGTTTGATGATTGTAACGTTGCCGAGAAGAAAAGGACTTAAGCGAAAATTCAGTTTAATATCTCAAAAATTTAAGGCGCGTATATACCAACATAAGGACCGACAGACAGACGTACATGACTAAATCGACTCAGCTCGGCACGCCTATCATATATATACATATGATTTATAGGGTCTCCAACGTTTCCTTTTGGTTGCTGCAAACTTAATATATCCTGTTCAGGGTATAAAAAGGTATGACTTGCAAGTGGATATAAACCCTTAATACGTGACGTGTCTTAATGAAACTCAAGAACATCTTTCTGATTATAATATATCGTGATGTCAAAAAATTAATAAAATCAGGCTGAGTCTACCCCTAGTCCCCATATATCTAATACAAGAATTTCCATGTATTTAAATATCTTATAGATATCAATAATGTAGCTCACAGATTGACCGCTATTTTTATCGAGATCCACATATTCAGTACCAGGGGTCTTAAAAATGCATAGTCCAATTTCGGTAGTTTTTAAGTAAAAGATACATATTCTAAAGCCAATATTTCTGCAAAGTACAGTAAAACGAAGAAATTAGATGGCTTTTTAAATTCTGATATATTGTAAGCCGCGGTTATTATTCGATTCTGCCCATTTTCACATAGCGTAAGAGTATTGGCCGGGTAGTTGCTGAGGTATAAAATGTCACCTAAAAGTGGGCGGCGCCACTCTAATTGTTCAATTTTTGCACTGAATCCTATGTAACCTATTCGTAGCATCTTGACTTTGATACTTCTGCGATATTTATCTGCAATACAAACCACCTCAGAGTGCTAGGGAACCCGAGTACCAAGCTTTATCGAAATAACTCAGTTTTAACTCATGCACGAACAGACAGATGGACGAACAGTCACCGTTAAATCACCTCGTATCATTATTCTGACAAAATATATACGTATATACGCTTGGTGAATAAATCTTATACTCTTTTGAAATGTGTTGCGAGATTATTATTAATTAAGGATTTACCTTGTTTGAATTTTATATGTGAATATCAGATATTGTCCATTTAAAATTGATGTAAATTTCATTGTAAACTAATTTTACAATGAGCTTTTAATAGTTCTAAAAATGTGATATACAGAGTAGTAATGTTTTCTGTTTTAATTTATTTCAGTTGGTTATGAACCAAATGCAACAATGAATACGGCACATCATATGTTAGTGTATGGTTGCGGTGAACCTGGGTCTACCAAACCTGTTTGGTAAGTTAAACGATGCGATAAATAATGTATGCCACTGCAGTATTACTGAAGTTTTAGGTTGTTATGAATTTTTTGTAATTGTTTGTTAAAATTCATACTCATGTTATTATAACTCCAATAATAATACATCACCAGTATCCAAATCGTTTTACTAACTCCACCCACTGATGCAACTTATTTTATAACCGCCCTGCCAAATGATTTATATATTTCTAGACTATCAAAGGCCCATGATAGTATTCTCGGCATGCTGATAATTTTTATTTTATTTTTATTAGCGACTACAATGCTCTTAGACTCCTTGCGATGAAGGAGCGAAAAACGCAGGGAAATCAACTGTTTACATTTGAGAGCAGGACATGAATTCTAGTGTCTAACGCTATTATCGTAAGGTAATTGAAGTTACCTCTGGTCATTGAGTGAATTTTTAAGTGAAGAAATTAATAAGAAGCGTACCGAGACTAACCTGGAAATATCACTGAAGAATATACACTTTTCATTTCAAATATTTCGAACTTCACATTGCCTGTGGCACTATCCGTGTAGTCGATGTCCCCATAGATAGGTTCATTGTTGTTTCCGCCATTATCTCCCTCTCAATTTGTGTCCTACCTCTGAGGGTTAATTTGTTTATTTAATTGATTATCTAATGATAGAGCAACAACAGCGAGCAGCGACGGCAGCAGCGGTGGCTAAGCTAGATAGTTAAGTTTACTTTTTGTCAAAAAGTTCGACACCATTCGTGCTCAAATAAATAAATAACATAAATTATATACATATATAATTATTGGAACCCAAAGTAGAGCATTAGTGGCATGGAAAGAAAACTTGAAATCTTACAATTCACTTACTCGGAATGAACTTTCGATAAACTCCAAATTTTCGTCTACGTTAATTTTTTGATACAAATTACCGTTTCGCTGAAAATCGTGAAATACAATTTTTTGACCTTTAATTTTAATTTTGGTATGGTATTTTTAAGCATGTTTTGAACATGTTCACTAACTTTCTAATTGTTATACATTTGTATGTAACTTCACTGTCTAATTTGTCCGAAATAATTTTAAACAAAGTTATAATTATTATTATGGTTTTTTTTTTAATTGGACACATGCTTATGATTTGAAATAGATTTGCTATAAAGTAGAATAGTTTTTTTCACCTAACGGTTGTTTGTATCGCCTCAAAATGATTGAGTAATATACCATATATAATAATGATCAGGATAATGAGACGACTTGAAATCCGAGTGACTGTCTGTCTGTCCGTTCATCTGTGAAAGCGATAACTTGAGTAAAAATATATATATAAAATATAAGATATATTAATGAAACTCGATACACGTGTTCCTTGGCAAAAAAGTGAGAACGAGTGCGAAGATGGTCCTAATCAGAGCACTGCCACGCCCACAAAACGCTATTAATCGAATCGACCTATAAAATGCCATAACCAACACTAAAATAAGATATAAACCTGTATTTGGTAATGCACGTATCTCCTAAACCACTTAAGATGTATTAATCGCTCAGGACAAATTCCTTAAGCACCCCTACCGAAGCTGTAAAAATAATTGAAATCGGATGATAATCCCGCCTGAACCAACCCAACTGAACACGTTTTCTTAAGAGTTATAAAATTATATTATCCTTAATATAATGATTTTCAATCTTTTGATTGACGTTTTTCAAATCAACTCAATATATTAAATTTAGCCTCCTCGGAGTTTATATCACATATGTACAATATATCTCATTAATATTATATGATACCAAATTTGATTGTAATTTTTTCACGGTTTCGTCGAACAACGAAGCTGAATTTTTTCGCTTCATTTTTTAATATGAAGTTTTGGCAACACCTGAAGGTATTTCGGTTCGGTTACACCCGAACTTAGGCCTTCCTTACTTGTTTTTCTTTCTATGAATTGTTTTACTTTTAACATAATTGTTAAATATCCTATATATCTATCTATTTTTAATGTTGGATCAAACTGGACGCAATTCGCTAAAATTTACCAAAATCGGTTCAGTACTTTAGGCGTTTATCCCAGAGAAAACGTGACACTTAGTTTTTATATATACATACATAACATATTAATAAATGATTGGCGTGATAAGTTAAGTCGATTTAATTATGGTATGTCCATCCGTCTGTCTATATACGCGAATTAGTCCCTGAAATTTCTACAATAGTTTTTGAAATATAACATATATCAAGACAAACTTATCGATCAAAATCAAGTTTTTGTGTGGAAAGTTTTTTTATTTGCCACGATATCTTTACAAGATTCAGCCCTGATTATTTTCCACGGCAACGTTCCATTCTCCGAAAATATTGCTCAGATCGGTTCACTATTGCATATAGCTGCCATTCAAATGGACCGATTAAAATCAAGACAAAGAATTTTTTTCCTTATTAAAGGGTTGGAGGTAATAAGACGCACAAAAAAATGAGAATTTTCAGTAATTTTTTTATGCTATTAAATCATGCTATTTTACAAAAGTAGTAATATGGCATTATTATACAATGTTTTGACTTGAAGCCACGAAAATTAAAAAAAAAAAATTTAATTTCCAAAGTTATAGTTGTCTGTGTTGACCCAGTTCCAAAAAACAAATCCTTCGGTGACAATCATAAGTCCTTGGAAATTCATCTAAAATCAATCCGATGAAAAAACTTTTATAAATAGATGGCCAGGATTATCTGTTCGAAGCTTGTTTTTTGTTTTAATTAACAAAATGGCGGCCTCAGGAAATTTTTTTTCTAGAGTTTTGGGAAAATATCAACAGTAAATTGATCTTAAAAAATCGAAATTTAAAGAACAAATCCTTCGATCAGGCCCGAGTTTATTATGTATTCTAAACGCTGTTTAAATTTCGTTAAAATCTACTCAGATTTTTTCGAGTTACAGTTGTCACCAGTTCAAAAAACATATTTTTGAGAAAAACGCATATAAAGTTTCACACTAGAGCTGTCGAATAACTCAAAAAGTAATTATCGGATCAACTTGAAATTTTCAGAGAATGCAAGATATAACATCTAACGAAAATGCAAAAAAAAAAAATTGATTTTTTTAAAATTCTGACTACCCCTAACCCCTTAAGTAACATTAATTCGAGTTAAAGGTTTATATCAAACTGGCTAGCAAAACATATTCCGTTAGAATTAGTTATACATATAAAGGTTGGTTGAAAAGTTATAAAACGACCCAAGAAATCGGGTTTATTCCCTCCAAATAATGCTGAAAAATATGATTTCGATGCAGTTTTGTTAAATTCTTAACGTTTGCGATACGAACTTTCCAAACAGCTTTTTCATATGTAATTCTTCATGTAAAATATGAAGTACTCGTTCGTTTGAGTTGCCTATGGCCTTAGCAATTTCACGCTTAGACAAACTTAGAGCCTCACTAACAATATTATGAACTTGCTCAATGATTTTTGGTCGCCCTTCGCGTGGATCGTCTTCAAGCCTAGTACGACCACGTTTTAATTCACCAGCCCAAAGTTCAACGGTGCGCTTTGAAGGTGAGGTCTCCTTATACACTTCTAACAATTGTTTATAAATTTCCTTTGCTTTTAAACCTTTCAGAACAAAGAATTTAATCTAAAGAAAATACTCTGCCACGTCAACTTCAAAAGGCTTGTAAACAAAGAATTAATTGACAGAATGACTAGTAACTTTGCATGTGTACGACAGATGTACCAACTTGAGGAAAAACAATTTGGAGCTAGTAATGCTATTTCTTGGTGAGAGCAGAAACTTTTCAACCAACCTGTAGTTGCTAATATTTTTTTTGTGTCTTAATGGAATTAATGCATTATTTTAAGATATGAGTTATTATTGTAGTAATTAAGTGAAGCAAATGCCCTATTATCCATAACAATAGGGTTAAATCTAACTCTATACGTTCATAATGAAGTAGCTGCATAGGTACATATGTATGTATAATATATCTGTAGCTCTTTTATTAGATCGCATCATACAAATTATGAAGTTTATTAAGTAGTAATACCATACTTAAATACACTAAAAAAATATTTTTTTAGGAATTGTGGAGAGATGTCCAAAGAGTATTCTGCTGATTCGGCCAGTCCATGCGGTGTTCATTCACATTCACAGGTAAACACATGAACATACATAAGACTCTTTGTATTTTATTATAAGGCAAACATACAAATATTAATATAAATTATTAAATGCAGAAATTTTTTTTTGCAATATTATATTGGAAATATTAGCGATCAGGAGTTGTCCTGTTCGTCTCCTTACCACAACCATTTTCTTTGGTATGATTTCTAATGCTAGATCTCTGAAATAACCAGGATTCAGATCCGCGGAAAATAAATTGTATATATTATAATATCAGCTCAAGGTCCCACGTCATTTTGATGAACGTTGTCCATTTTAAGTAAATAAAATTAATGCAAATAAAATGAGCATTACAGTATCAATTAGGGGGTATTCTGGTTTAGAAATTAAAAAAAATCGATTGTTGTTTTTTGTGCATATTATTATTTTCGGAGTTACAGCTCATTTTGTGATGCGCCGACAAAGTCGACTGGTAGCTCGGCGTGAGCTTTAAATTCGTTTTTCTCTGAACTACTTTTTTAGAAACGGTGTGCATGATATCTTAAGTTCTACTTAATCGATTTATTTAAAATTTTATACAGAGCTTCTTTAGACATTATGCTATCGCACTACGCGAGGATTTGTGAATTTTTTTACACATAATAACGAAACATATTTTTTAAACAGCCGCCATTTTGTGAAATTTTTTTTTCCAAAATCCTCTCGTAGGGCTATAACTCCATTCTTCCTCTTTAAGGATCACTCAACAATTTCCATTTCGGGTTACTGGAAGTCTTGATATTCTGCACACTAGGGCACGCCATTTTTTCGTCAGTCCCCACTTTGCCAGCTTGGAACTTTTTGAAATTTTTTGTTTTTTAATATTATAAATGATTTGTACTCTTTAAATAACAATAAAAAAAATATAAAAAATGTATCATAAAAATATATCTTTTTTTTATCGGTTCCGAAAAAGAGCCTAAAATTCGGGCTTCTAAACCAGAATACCCCCTTGAGGGGTTAGGAGTAGTAAGAGGCACGAAAAAACTAGAATTTTCAGTCATTTTTTTTTTGCTATTAGGTCATGTTTGTTTTCAAAAGTAGTAATATGGCATTATTATACAATGTTTTGACTTGAAGTCACGAAAATTAAAAAAAAAATTTTAATTTCCAAAGCTATAGCTGTCTGTGTTAACCCAGTTCCAAAAAAAGGTCCTTGCGGTGACATTCATAAGTCTTTGGAAATTCATCTAAAATCAATCGGATGAAAAAAATTAGTTTTATAAATAGATAATCCTGGGTCTGATCGAAGCTATTTTTCAAAAATTAACAAAATGGCGACTTCAGGAATTTTTTTTCTAGATTTTTCGGAAAATATCAACAGTAAATTGATCTTAAAAAATCGAAATTTTTGAAAAAAGCTTCGACCAGGCCCGAGTTTATGTATTCTAAAAGCTGTATAAATTTCATTAAAATCTACTCACCGGTTTTCGAGTTACAGTTGTCACCAGTTCAAAAAACATAGTTTTGAGAAAAACGCATTTAAAGTTTCACACTAGATCTCCCAGGCGCTCTTTGTTATTTGTCGAATAACTCAAAAAGTAATTATCGGATCAACTTGAAATTGTCAGAGAGAAACTCAGAGAATATTTTCAAGATATTACACATAACAAAAATGCAAAAAAAAAAAAATTGATTATTTGAAAATTCTGACTACCCCTAACCTCTTAAGGAAAGTGATATTGTCCACTAACAGATTTCGTTTGATTACAACTGAAACTATAGATTTATTGGCGTTTTTGTATTACAATCCAAAATCAAAAGTATTAGTTTGCTTTTTATACCTTTAAAGGAAAGGGTCGTTAATTTAAAATAAAAGTGAATCTAGTATTTTCTAATAAAGTTTGCGTGGTATATTTCAAATTGAAATATTTTAAAGTCTAAAATAAGTTTCTTAAATGCAAAACTATTTCATAACACCTTTTTAACAAATTATTAATTACATACAAGTACATTATCAATTTATTGCTTTTTTTAAATAAATATTTTCAGTTGTTTCAAGGATCAATAAGGATATTTAAAGAAACATATTCTCAACCTTTTCTGTATGAACGTTATTTGTAATACAATACAATAAACCCTTGAATTATTGTTAAAGCATTGTTGACTTAAATATGATTGCGGTCCGCTAAGCACTAAGGTCCCAGCGATGCTTCAACTTCTGCAATCCATCTGAATAATAAGTTTACTGGAGCTCTACAAAGTAGGCTTCCATTGCGTTTCTTTTCTTTCTACTCAATTTTCTACCCGGCAAATACATTTTTTAAGTTTGGAAACAAAATTCCCATGGGCCCAAATCTTGTTTCGAATCTTCGCGGTCTTTTGAGATGCTTACTGTCTGTCCTATCTGCCAATAAGAGATCCTTAACTCGTAGTCACCCTAATTGTATTCACCGAATCGGATCACCGACAGGTGTTGTTCTTTTGCATTTTCCTTAAATCCGTCACACGACCGCTTCTATGCGCCATTAAACAAATCCAAGTTTACAAAACCCCGATTCGGCTTAATTTCGTCAGTATCCGTGTACGAGGAAGTACTATACGATAGCATATTCATCCTGCAAAAGGAACAAGTATTGTGCAACACTCGGTTGGGTAAAGGACAAAACCAATTTATTTCGGGACATTGGTCATAGGTAAATAGTAGTTTCTCCGTTTTTTGAAGTCCAAAGTTTCCAAAATCGAAATATTTTCCTTCTATGTTCGAAATCGAGCTCATTAATAAAATTATTTTTAATTGTAACGTGTACGTTCCTAAAAAAATTCATACCAAATCTAGTTAAACAAACATAACGTTGTATTTCATCATAAGTAATTAAGGAAAGAAATCATGAATATCGATGTAATACAAAGTTTTACGTGCAGTTGTCCAAAAACACGCTACTATACAAAATCTTTTAAACCAAAATAAAAGTTTGAAAAATTAAGAGATTAAAAAAATTTTTTTTATGTTATTAAATCATATCTTTTTGTTTAAAAAATTTACTTTTTTCAAATAATTCAAGAAACAAAAGCCACAGAACACAATAATATCAAGTAAATATAAAAAGTTTAATAGCTGGTGGGGTAGTCTCGAAATTTTAGAACTTCTGCTAGACGTTTAGGCATGGAATGTACTAATTTCCTCGTATCTTCAGTCGACATTTTACTCCATTTATCCAATATAATGGTCTTGAGCATTTCTTAGCTGGTAATCGTATGTGTAGGTGAATGTAGCTGTTTTGGAGCATTGTAAAGAAGCCAAAGGCGAACAAGTTCCGCTGAATGCTTAGGGTCATTGTCCCACTTTGCTTCATTTGTCGTTTTAAAATATTTAGATAGTCAAATCTATTCATTATATTTTTGATAAACTCAATGCCACCAACTCCACTTTCTGCCATACAGCCCCACAATAGAACTCCACCCACACCATGCTTTACGGTTGAAGTAAGATTTCGTGCTTCAAAGGCCGTACCAGTTTTTCGCCACACCATTTGTCTTCCTTTTATTCCAAATACACAATATTTGGTCTCATCCGACCATAAAACCGATTCCCAGAAAGATATAGGCTTGGATATGTTCGTTTGCGAATGCAATGGGCTTCATACGATTTTTTAAGGAAATGAATGGCTTTTTGCGTGCAACTCGCCCATGATAACCAGCCCTTTTTAATATTTTTCTTGCTGTGTCGCTGCATATTGTTTTTTTAAATCGTATTTTTACACCTTCGGCTATTTGAAAAGCGGTTAAACGCGGATTTACAAAACTTTGCGTGTTTCCCGATCAGTCAATATTCCCGGACGTCCAGAACGAGGCTTTGAAATAATAATTCCCGTTTTTTTGAAAGTCTGGATGACGTATCGCACTGATGATTCCGTTCTGTTGACAACTCTTATTTCTTTGCCTTTTGCACTCATTTCGATTAACGCTGAATAATTCGAAAAATTTACACACAAATTGCAGATTTTCCTTTGATTATCTTAATCTGTATTATTTACAATAACGTACAAAAAATTAACAGGTCTTAAAGGCGTGGAAACTACAATAAACTAATGTAACAAGGAGTGAGCGGATACTTTTTCTGCATATTCTCTATTAGTAGAATTCAAAAAATGCCGTTAACTTTGCAAACGCACATAAGAATTCCATGAAATTTTGCGACTGTAATGCTATTAGCATGCGCATCTGATATTCTGAAGAGAACTTCAAAACGCATATATTTCGTTAATATTTTTATTTAAACACATTTCACGAATTGGTGAGCGGAGACTTTTTCTACCCAGTGTATGCTTCGGCTGTGCATTATCTACCGAACTACCTTTAAGGGGCACACCTAGTGTGACAGCCTGCAACACGTCGATTTTTAGAAATCTAAGAAAAAACTACTGTATCGATCGTTTTAAAATTTTCAGGGTATATTTATACAATATCAAGGTATGTCAAGAATACACAGTGAAATTAAATATTTTTTGAGTTATGGGATATTTCTGAAGGGGCTAAAAAAGATCCTCCACTGCTGCAGTGGTTCCGGCCTTTTCCGTAGATGAAACCTAAAAATAAAAAGTTCTCGTTAAACTAGAAGATATTTTTGTTACAATGATCTACGATAAAAAAAAAATTAAAAATGAAGGCGTTAAAAAAAGTTGAATTTTACCAAAATTTTGTTTGTTTTTGGTTCTCGTTAAACTAGAAGATATTTTTGTTACAATGATCTACGATAAAAAAAATCAAAAATTGACAAAATGAAGGCGTTAAAAAAGTTGAATTATACCAAAATTTTGGTTGTTTTTGGCTTGCCAAAATACGATTTTTGATCAGAGCAAAAAACCGGTAGGTCATTGTATGTAATTTTATATAGAAAAGGCAGAAAGAATTTTTAAATTTCATTAGGAATCTATGTGCAACTATATACGAAGTCTAATGTTCTGAAGAGCGTTCTGCTAGTCTCCTTAATATCAGTTGCTCCATAGTCTAAAAGGGATTTCCCTCTCTGAGTTTACAGAAGTTAAAAGCTCTTTGAACATGGAGTTCCTGCAATAAATATCTAGTGTCATGGTGAATCTATTACATAATATTTTAATCAGGTGTCGAATCGTTAAATACGTGATACATCAATCGAATACGGTGATTGGCATTATGATATAACGGATTTCTCGATAAATCGTCTACCTTGTAACTCACTCTTGTGTTCGATCACTGGATTGTTAAATAAAAGTCCCAATTTATTGTTCTACACTTATCTTTATATCTAATTCCAACAATTTAACATTTATTACTCGTTATTTAAGTTTACAACTTATTGCTTATAGTTCAATAGCTCTTTACACGGAAACACTGTAATTAGAACTGTCCCTGCTGCATAATGCGGCAGCCCTTATATAAATATTTAACAAAACATCGCCTCTAGGACATTCTGGCAACTAAAAATTCTCTAACTGGTTGATTCTGGCAATTTATCGTCGATTTGATTTTGTTCTAGCATCCGTGTTCGTCACAATACGATACCAAACGGATCGTACATGGGTGTTGTAGAATCTGATAGTTGTCGGAATCAGAGTTGAAACCGATAAAAAAAATGTAGTAAGTGTCATGAATTCAGATCTTATTGGTTTGACGTTTGAAACAAAAATTGTATCGGTTTGGGGTGTCAGGGGAACCAATTTTATCGGTTTTGTTATCAGAAACAAAGCAAGAAGCTATTCGCTGACAGATTTGCAATGTAAGTTAAGAAAATAATTTATATTATTGTTACGATTTAATTTATCATTATGTATGTAGGGGAAAACATAAGAATAAAACAAAAAATATCATAATTATTGAGTTAATGGAAAAATCCAAATATTTTAAAAGGATTAACAAAACGTAATAAACGTATCTTATCACCCAATTGCGTTTTTATTCAGTTGATAATGTTATATAAATCTGTAAAGTAAGCATGTATACAAACAAACAAGTAAATGCAAACCAAATTTCACATGCGACTCCCCTGGTGCATCAAGTGGCTTACTGTGATTTTTTAATATCTTCCTTTTAATTTTTTTGTTGCTTTTTTTCCAATAAAATAAAAGCTAAAATAGTGGAACTCATTGTAAACTTTAGTTCATTTGCAAGTGTTGTCACATTAGTGAACAGCTGATACGAATATTATTTTTGCATATGTTCGAAAAGACGAAAATGCAATCAGATTCCTTGACACCATTGAAAATCAGAATTGGTTTGCAATTCTGACAACAACGCAAATCTCTATTGGATTCCACAATACCTTTGATAATTTATTTTCAATTCACAATAGTTTTTAAATTCCATTTGGCTTTGGATCGTATTTCTAGGACCCAATAGATGTGGAACTGTCTAAACTCTTGCCAATTTTGAATAAACTAACAAAAGTAAAATAAATATGAAAATGTACCCGTGCAAACTGTAAATAAAATAACAAAAGCAAATTAAATATCAAAATGGATTTGATTTTCTTTTTTTATATGAGCCCTAGTGAAAGTGATGGGGACAAAAAAATAGAGAGGAGGCAGCTAAGAGATCGTAGCAATCCTTTGACACTGTCGAATACAGCATAGGTATATAAAAAACAAATTATGAAACCTCATCAAAAATTTCAAAACTATTTCGTCTAACTAAAGAGGCTTTTGAATATGTGCTAAATAATATAGGATTAACGCAATCTGACGTCAGCACAGCCTCCAGTGCTACAATTGGCAGCCACACTCTCACTTTTTGCTATCGATGGATACCAGCATAGTATTGGTAGTGACTATTTGGTTGGGATGTATCAAAGCACTGTTTCGAAGCTGATATCTCATGTGCTTAAAGAAATGGAAACGAAGTTGTACCCACAATTTATACGGTTTGCACCTTACCTGCAAGGAGTGGATTCGGAGTGGATTTTGCAGCAATATAAAATCACTGGAGATAAATAAACACTTTATTCAAATATTAATATTGCTAAATATAATTGCTCTTACATCGGCTTACAAAAACATACAGTAGACGAGCATATGTACTTTAATAAAAAAGGCTACCATAGCATTAACGCGTAAGTTGCTATTAGAATATATTTCCTGGACAAATATGATATTTAAATTAAATGATATTTAAATTATATGATGGCAAATTTTGTTTTGCCAGATATGTGACCACACATACAAAATTTTTACTATCAAAACTTCCAATACGGTGGTGCAGCCCACGACTCATTTGTTTGGAAACACTCGGACCAGAGAATAGTTTTGGAAGAACGATTTCAGCATAATAGGAATGAAAATGCATGACTTGTAGTTATATTCTTCTCCTATCGCTCTTCCCACCACATTGATTTTATTTACATCTTCATAGGGGATTCTGGCACTGAAACAATGGTGCATAACTCCTTACAGAAACGCTTCGGATGGTACAAGCTTAGTTCAATGAAATTAATTCGAAGGCAAGATGTATCGTCAAAAGAAGTATTGGAATTTTAAAAGGAAAATTTGAGATATTGAAAAGAAGAAGGTACCATCCCACAAAAGTGGCAAACCTTGTTAACATTTGTGAGGCATTACATAACATCTGTATAAAACTTAAAATAAGTTTTGATCCTCAAAATCCAGAAATCGACACCGAGGTAACGAACCGTCTCACCGCAATCGACCAAACGATAAAAGACCAAATAAAGTATTTATTATCAAATTAAGATGTACATACAAGTATATGTCTTTAACCTTGTAAATAATATTTTTAATGCAAACTGAAATACAAAGATTTTGTTCGCATAAATTTATTTATTTTAAAATTTGTTTTAAATTCTTTTATTTGTTCATTATTTGGTATTTGTTGCTATTATCACAGATATATTTTCTTGATTTTTTACAGAGATAATGTTCTTAAATTCTAAATAATGCAAAAATAAATAAAGTTTCATAACAAAAATAAAAAAGTGCTCCATTAAATGTTTAAAACTAAAACTTAAATTTTCAGGTACATATTTTCTTTTTTTTCGCGTAAGGCTTCATGATCCAGTCTTTTTATTTATAAGTCGATTTCCCACGTGGCTTGTTGGCTTGTTGCGATGCTTCTCCCTTTTTATGGCAACCAATCGTTCTTGCACTGACAGCATATTTTCTTGCGTATATAGCAATATGTCTAATTTTGACAGGGAATTCAAAGTTTGATGGAGTAACGCCAACTTCTCATCACTCCTACTTTTTCTCCTAGGTGTCCGTAGAGATATCGATGAACCTCGTAAGGAGCTATAGCAAGAGTTTGCCTCCTAGTCGCTGATATGATTGCCACTGATAATGCTTGCGCATTCGGGTTACTTCCTAATGCAGAGACATTTCTAATGCCCTCTAAGCAAGCTTCAAATCCAGCTGCTTCCATAAACAACTCAGTAGCAGTGATTATCTTTTTACTATAGGGCCCTCCACCAGTACGCTGTTTGGATGCATTGTTGAAAGGTCAGCAAAAACATACAAAAAAAATCATTAAAAAAAAGTATTTGCATATAATTTATATTCTCAACTTCCTCCACAACTTAGTATCTTTAACTGGTGGCCCCACAATATAACTAGCTCTTCCCAAAGTTTAATCGACTTGGTTCTTCCTTGCGCAGAATTCGGAAGATAATTTTTTTTTGCCAAGCAGGACTGGTTTGCCGTGAAATCCGGCATGACATCTTTTTGGATAGGCTTATTAAAATTCGCCCTAATTTAATCAGTTTGCGTTCGAATGACTATTCAAACGAACGATTAGGTTCAGTTACTCGTTCACGTATGTCGTCAAACCGCAATACTATATGAGCATTACAATCACGTATTTCATAATCTGAAATACAGATGTTTACGTGACGAGTGATACGTACGTAACGATTCGACCCCAGCTTGCTTTCAAGTAGGTCTATATTAAGCAATATAAGTATCTTACAAAAAAGAGATCAACAAGTGGCATAAGCTAATTAAACTGAAATTTTTTATAGTATTTTGTTTTAATTTACAGATCTTATATGCATGGGCGAGAGATGCGCCAAAATTGGATTTGCCCAATGGTGTTGGATTTAAGGTTGGTCTAAATACTCCAATCAAATATATTGTTCTTCAGGTTCACTATGCTCACATTAACAAATTTAAAGGTAAGATATTCAAAAATCATTTACTAGCTTAAGCTTCAGAGTATTGGTAACGACAAATCATAATACGGCTGTCTAGGAATAATACAGAAACGATGTGAAATATCAGGGGGATGTTTGTATATGTATTTAAATAGAGTTTGCATGAGAGAGGGCATGTACACACGAATAATTTTGTCGCCTGAAGCCGTAGTACGTAAAAGGGGTCGACGAGAAAAAACGTAACCGAGTAGCCCGTGTTCAGGCAATACTCTGAGTGCTTTTATTTGTAACAGTTCGCTGCTACAATTCCGCTTTCCTATTAATTTTGAAGCGCGATTGCGCGCGGACAAAATTCTAAGTTAAGAATTAAACAGGGTTTTTAGTAGGGTTGTGTCCTCTCCCCGCAACAGTTTAACTTCTATATTTCCAAACTCCCTCAACCATCAGAGGACGTTACAGTTGACAGCCTGTGGTGCTCTTTTACTCTGCATACGACTTTGGTTAAAGTACAGAGCTGCAACAAACGCAGTCAAAGAAGCTTCAGACGTGTCATAACACTGCACTTCGCACGAGAAAACGATGTCACCTGATCTCCAGTCGAACAACTACATGGTGAGGCTTACGTGCTTCCCCTTAAGGAGCATGACTAACAATCTTTTAGCATGCCCAACGAATCCCACTCATCTAAAACCCCTCTCGCGATGGTCCGACCCCGTTAAAACAGCACGTTTTCTGGGCCTACCGTTAGATGACAACCAACTTGAACCTTACCAACCAAGCGAAGATTAACCGCTACAACAACAACCAGAAAAACTCGTAAGAGCTTATAAACCAAGTATTCAAAGTAATTTAAACATAATCAAAATTATTATTTAATTACATAGTTTTTGATTAAAAACGAAAAATTAAAAAAGGCGTGCAGTCCCCCTGCGCGGAAGAAGTGAAACTTCATAATGTAAAATTGGAAACACGAAGTTATTGAAATTGATGTTATTATAACGAAACATTTTTGGCAAAATCAAATTTTTATTATTTTTTAGACAAAAATGTTTTTCAATTTAATTCTCACTTAATTATGATAGTTTTTCTCCTTTTTTCCTTGCTCTATATTCTCGTTGATATTGTTTTGCTGATTTCCTGTTGAGTGGATTTTTAAAACCATCACCGGGACTTGTAAAAGGCTCATCAGTCGTTGATGGTCTAAGCTCTGACGTGGAATGAACGCTAGTGGCCTCCCCTGTTAGAAGTTGATGGTACAGTCTCCGTCGAATCAATGAATGTAGCGTCACGTTTCGCCTTTTTCCGTGCTCGATACTCCTTCTGATATTCCGCAGCAGATTTTCTCTGCATTGATGGCCTTGCTTTTGAAACATTATTTCTACAGCAATTCACATTTGTAGAATGCTCAGAACTTGTAGACAGGTTACTAGTTACCGTATTTGATAACGCCCTACAAACGATCCCCGAATCAACAGTAACGTACCTTTACTACACTTCGTCCCCTGTCGCCCCCTTTTTATACAATGAAAAGGGTATATTAAGTTTGCCACGAAGTTTGTAACACCCAGAAGGAAACGTCGGAGACCCTATAAAATATATATATAAATGATCAGCTTGATGAGCTGAGTTGATTTAGCCATGTCCGTCTGTCTGGCTGTCCGTCTGTCTGTATATATACAAACTAGTCCCTCAGTTTTTAAGCTATCGATCTGAAATTTTTCGCCTGTCCTTTTCTCACAAAGAAGCTGCTCATTTGTCGGAACGACCGATATCGGACCACTACAGCATATAGCTGTCATACAAACTGAACAATCGGAATCAAGTGATTGTATGAAAAACTCTTTCATTTGACGAGGAATCTTCACGAAATTTGGCATGGATTATTATTTAAGGCAACAATTTAATCTCCGAAGAAATTATTCAGATCAGGTGACTATAGCATATAGCTGCCATACAAATTGAACGTTCGGAATCAAGTTCATGTAAGGGGCCTTTGTATTTGTGAAGGGTATTATAGCTTCGGTGCAACCGAAGTTAACGTTTTTTCTTGTTACTCATTTTAATTGTATTCATCGACGATAAACGACAGGCAGCATCTGTCGAACATAGACACGTTCTTATGGGCAGCTGTAGTGTTGCCACTAATATGTGAAATTAGAGATTTTCGCGATTAGGCTTGTACGCCTATTATTATGTTTTTATTTTTATTTATTTTTTGGTAAGTGTTTTTGTGTACTTAATATAGGACCTGTTTCTCCACCACTATTCCTTTGATAGGGTTTGTTTAATAAGTAGTTCGCTGTAGGCGATTGACAATATTTTGTAACTATTATTTATTACTTAGTAGATTGTTTTGATTATTATTATTGTTAATGAATTGTACCTGATGTTTTTATATTTATTTTCGTTTTTGTTGAAATTAATACAAGTAGATGTTTTGACTTATATTTGTTCATGAATACAATTGAATTGTACCTGCATTTTATATATTTATTTTGGTTTTTGTTTAAATCAAGTTGATTATTTCGACTTATATTGATAATGTAATGAATATTCATGAACCTGATTTTATATATATATAGTATATATATGAACACGACAGCGAAATTTTCTGGCCGGCAAATGTCATCCCGAAGCCAGTTTTTTGAACATTTTGAAGCTGACAGCGGCATATCACACAGCTGATGTACACAATTTCGTTGTTGCCGTACTAAAACCTTTCACGTTAAATATTTGGTTCAAAATGAAATTTTTTATGCAAAAAATAAGTAAATAGGTCGATTAATTTGTTTTAAATTATTAATTGTGTTGGAAATTTGTCGAAGTATCACGTTCTGCGTGAATTTTTGGCAACATTTGCTAGTAGAGAACAGCATCACGTTCTACTGTCACTTTTTGCTCGAAATTTATGCAAATAATCGGTAACACTCAATTTTTGTCTGCACATCAGCATAGTATTAGCAAATATGCAAACAGTTGCTATACTGCTGTAATTATTACGTAGCTCGAACACACCTTAATACTTTTAGGTTTTTCTTGAAATATTGTTCATTTTATGTAAAAATCAGTAAATTTATTATACAACATTTCTTTAATTGAACAAACTCGGGACGGAGCAAATACCATTTTCGGCTACCAAAAATTACACCCACGAGTTATTTGCATTACGAATACTCGCAAAGATTAACTCAGCAGAACTGCATAAGCTTCCATTTGGTGTATTCTTTGTTCAGCACACAAGCAGCCTCTTACGCTACAACTTGTTTAAAGTGTTTGAGGATTACATAGTAACCAGATATTAATATTGTAGAATAGTGGAACAAAAATTTTAGTGGTGATTTGGAATTTCTTGCTCTGCTGCGCTAAACGCGGTTCAACGAATGCGCTTAATAATTTTGCTGGTATGTATGTATATAATGCTTCACATACAACCTAACTACTGCGTGTTAAACGTTTAACGCAACCTTTTTCCGAACTCCCATTATAAGTTTCACCAAAAAGAATGCAATAGCTAATTTCAACCAAACACTTTAAATATCTCCGTTAATGCGCAATATCAAAGTACATTCTTTCTCTATACTTAAGTCCTTATATTCTTAGTTCCTTTAAGTTCAGTCGCTGTCAATTAAGTGCAAAGATCATGAACATATAATTAGTTGCAGGAGTTGGAAATCTGGAGTTTATTGAGACTACAATGGATGGAGGTCACAACCTCGAAATTTTCAATTGCGAAGGCATTCGACTCTATCATAATGGCCCGAAGCACAAGTCCGTCATTCAAACCTGTATTGTTGGGAATTGTGCAAATGTTATGCAACCACAGGCACAGTCACCTCAGTAGAGCGTCGTCGAAAATTTTTGGGCAATTTTAGACACAAACATCCACAAATGAAAACTATTAAACAAATCTGACCTTAAAGCGGCATTTATTGAAGAGTGGTCAAAATTTGCTATTAATAATATTTAATTATTAAAAATTGCTATTAAGATATATTATAATCAAAACTAAAATATTTAAAGAAACACACAATGAATAAGTAATAATTTGAACATTTATATAAAGAAGTATAGTGCGTTTAAATTATTTTGAAAACTTGTTTGGATCAGCTTTCCTAGTCAAAATAAGCTTGAGCACAAATATGCAAATCAGATGCAAATTAGCTAATGAAAAATATTTTGTCGTAGTGCTTAGGGGGGGATTTTTTCGCTTATGTAAGCTTCTAAATATCAAGCCGTTTTTAGTACTATTTCTGTACAAACTCAGCTGAACACTTATTTTAAGGGGCACACGTAGTGTGACTGCCTACAAAACGTCAATTTTTGTGAATTAAAAAAAAATACTGTATCGATTGTTTTGAAATTTTCAGGGTATATTTATATATGTTTCAAGAATACACAGTGAAATTAAAAAAAAAAAATTACTTATTTTGAGTTATGGGAGATCTTTGACGGCGCTAAAAAAGGTCCTCCACTGCTGTAGTGATTCCGGCCTTCTCCGTGGATGAAATTTAAAAATTCAAATTTTTGTTAAACTAGAAGAAATTCGCCGTACAATGACCTACGATCAAAAAAATGTCAAACTAGATGCTTGTTTCAAATACAATTAAATTTTTAATTATACGCGTTTTAAAACAAGTAAAGAAGGGCTAAGTTCGGGTGTGGGAAACATTTTATACTCTTGCAACTTGCAAGAATCAAAGCCAAGTATTTTGTCAGCAATTACATATGTGTTGACAATTTTTTTTATTAAAAAATATTGCGAAAGAACTCAACATTCATTATTCAACGAAATCGTGAATGGATAACAATCAAATTTGGTATTTTATTAATATATAAGGTTGGAAGGTATCTCCCTTCCGCTTTTTTGCTCTTCATTCAATGCTTTATAAAAAGTGTTACAGTGATCGGATTTAGTTAAAATATGCGCCGTTTTGTTCGATGATCTGTTTCCATCTAGACGGCAACTTCATAATACCTTCCTCGTAGAAGCCCCTCTCCTTATTTGCGAAGAATTCGGACAGCCACTTTTCACAAGCCTCTTTTGAGCTTAACTTCACACCACCAAGGGCATTCGCCATGGACAGGAACAGGTGGTAATCACTTGGCGCTACGTCCGGGCTATATGGTGGATGCGATAAAACCTCCCATCNGACGAGTTCGTTCCGTTTCAGCAGCATATCGCAGGCGTTGATTCGGTCCAGAAGGTTTTTTTGCGTCAAATTATGCGGCACCCAAACATCAAACTTTTTTTTTGTATCAAGCCTTCTGCAGATAGTTCAAAATGGTTTGGTGACTAACTCCCATCTCCTGGGCGATGTCACGAGATGCCATATGCCGGTCTAACTCGATGTATTCCATGATTTGATCGGTATTTGTCGTCACAGGTCTTCCGCCGGCTGGCCTATCCATGGTGTCGTTTTCACCGGCTCTGAATCGTCGAAACCATTCCTCCGCGGTCCGAAGTGATAGAGTACTATCCCCCAAAACACCATTAATCTCACGGAACGTTTCTCTAGCGGATTTGCCTTTAAGGAAGGAAAACTTTAAAATAGCGCGAATTTCGGCGTTAGTGAACTCCATGTTTACACGTCTATAACTGTTGAACGCAATATCGAAACTAATCATGCATAGCGTTGTTTTATAGGTTATGTCAAGACCTTTCAAATTATGTATAGTGTTGCCAGATACGAGCTCTGTAGCGCTTTGTACATAGCCGCGAAATTCAAAAGACAAAAAAGCGGAAGGGAGATACCTTTCAACCTTATATATTAGAGGTCATATACTAATTTAGTTTTATTCATATATTTTTCATTTTTTCACGTCAACGAAAATTATATTAAAATATCCTAAA